CAAGCCTTTCAAGCCAAAATCGAGCCAACCCCAAATTCCGACGAGCCTAATTGAGCCGGCTCGATTCGGAACACTGGTATTCGTGTTGTGCCTTTTATCACTTATAGTGCGTACAGCATCGTACTATATGCGTCTTACAGCATAACCGTCCTCTCGGATGCTTTGTCTGTTATACGCACGTACGTACGTACGTGGTATAATAACAGATAAAGTATATAACAGTTACAGTATAATTGATACGTACGTAAAGTACGTTGTTTCTATATAAAGAAGTTTAATATTGACCTTTTTCTATGCACGTACGTACGTACATACGAAATAAATGCATATGATATTTGAAGAAAACGTATCAATGACAATTCCGAAAATTTTATTGGCTTAAAAAAATATCTTTTTTTGATTTTTTCTATGTAACACAATACAAAAAAGTCGTTTGATAGGATTTGTTTGTTATGTCGCCAAAGATTTGTGCTAATTTAGGAAATTCCTTGATTGGTTTAGTGCATTTAAGATAAACAACACTAATTTCTGGATTTAGGCCTTTAAATTAATTTTATACTTGTTAATTAATTTACATAGACTTACATAGACTTACATTACGTAGTATCTTATGTATTACATTATTTACTCGAATTTTTATAAATATCTGATTTGTACGTATGTACGAACGTACGCATCATTATTTTTCGCTAGACCTTTTTACTCTCCTAAAAGCATTGTACCGAATTCATTCTTTTCCATTTCTTTCTTCTGGTACAAAATTTTTAAATGATATTGATTTCTCACCTGTTCATTTATCTATTATCTAATTATTATCTTATCTACTTTCATGTATTCTCCTTCGTAAATTTTTCATTATGAGTTCTTCTTTAAATAATACTGTCTCAGATAAAGTCATTGATCAAATTTCTACTGACAAATATGTTAAAGCAATGATAATTGTGTGCTTTTTTAGCACATTCAGTAACGCTACAATTTTTATACTCCTTATATGGAAAATAATGAAAAAATATATAAGACCTACTATGGACTCTTTCTTAGTGTTAAATTTGATCGCTTCAAATTTTTTCCTGTGTTTGGGTTTCATGTTTAATTATAACTGGATAAGATTTGGTGTTATAGAAACAGGTGCCATCTGTAGTATACAAGGTTTTCTTATAAACTTTGGTGATGTTACTTCAGGTAAGTTTTCTTATCTTTATATTGTTTCATATGATTTTTAAAAAAAATTTTTTTAATATAAATTCATTTATATAATATCAGGTTTTTGGATACTTGTGTTATGTATATATATATATATGCTCACCGCTCGTTACGACTGCTCACGTGTGGTAATCATAAGCATGATTATAATATGGCCTCTTAATTTAATAATTTCCCTTTTGGGTTTGACATTTCAAACTCCTAATTCTCCTTTTTATGATGCCACAAATAGTTCTTGGTGTTGGATTTCTTCTAATTATAAAACTTCTAGAATTGGTTTTAATTATTTTATCACCTTGGCAATTACCATCGTAGTGATCATTCTATTGGCAATTTTATACTGTAGACTAAAAAAAAATTCTCGTTACGTAAATAAGATATTAATGTGGTATCCATTAGCCTATATTATTCTTGTAATTCCATTGAATATTCGTAAGTAATTTTTTATTGATGTCTGTGCTGCAAAAACATGTGAATGTATAAAATTATTCATATATTGATATTATATACCGTATATTTTTAGACCGATTTGCCGCTATGTTTGATTACGAACTTCCTTTTGTATAGTATGTATAAAATACAATTTTTTCAAATTATTAATATAGATACTTGTTTCTCAAACTAATAATATGATAAAAAATTCTTTTTAAATAGTATAATAGTAGCAACTTGTTTTTTCATATGTGATGGCTTATTCAACTCGATAATTTACGGATTTAAGCATTCTACTAGTGATATACCAACAATATCCACACATAATGTAAATCCTCTTCAACGTCGTCCTACTCCAATATATGGAATACCACGTCGTCCTACCCCAATACAGGGATTACAACGACCATTAAGTCCTTTTAGCCCTACAACTTCGAGTAGAATGCTACTTAGTTCACCCTCTCCTACCAGGACTAATTTTTCCACTCCTCCAATAACTCCCAATACTGCTACATTTCCATCCCCTAATACTGCTACTTTTCTTGCTCCATTATCTCCTAATACTACTACTCTTCCTGCTCCATTATCTCCTACAATGTCATTTACGAATTCACCCACTAGAGTTTCATTTTATCCAAACGATCGATATAGGTCAATGCTTAATAATCCTACTAGAAATTCTTTTCCAGCTTCATACGAATCAACAACAATAGCATCATCATACTCATCATCATCAACTAATAGATATTCTTATCCTGAAAAAAATGATTCATCAATATCACCTATATCAGTCAAAACAACGTCCAAACATGTTAGATCACTTGAATTAGAAAAAAATGATCAATCAATTTCAAATTCAAAACATACTGATACACGTAATAAGCCTCGACCTAGTACATTTGGTAGTCTCGCTGATATCGAATCACATTCACCTTTAACTAAATCACAAATAGAAATTTTAGATGAAAGGGATGTATGATAAAATCGTAACTTAATAATAATTTTTTTTTTTTAGTAATATATATTGTTCCTAATAATCTAAAAAAAGAAAAAAAAGTACTACAGTATTCACAAATTACAAATAGAATTCATATTATATATGTACTATACTTTAATATTGTATTCATTATTCATTGTATTAATATTTATTTTCTTTTAAAAAAACTGAAAGCGAGTCTACTTTTTGTAATTTTAGTGTTTAATACATTATTATTTTCTTTTATTAACGTCTAGATATTTATATTTTTTTTTAGAAAAAAAAAGATGTATACAGCATATAATATACGGTATAACAGTATTTATTTATATATTTAGTATCATAAATTATAATTTAGCATTGTAAAATGTTTTCTGCTTACATAACTGTTAATAAAGAAATAACTTTAATTTGTTGCTAAAGATATATTTATATTAGAGATTCGACCCGCTAACTCGTCAACCCGGGAACCGTCTAACTAAGAGTAAATTATGGTTAACTAGGTTAGTTTATGTAAATAATAAATTTTATTTTCATCGATGGTATTCGATAATTCCAAAGATTCAAAGTACAGTGCCCTACCATATTATTATGGACATTTTTTGAAAATTTATTTTTTTGGGATCGTACGTAAGTAATGCAGCACAAAATTTATATCACGTGAAAGAGCAGCTAAACTTTCACGCGGCAAATCCTCGATTTTGATTGGTCAACGGCCGAGGATCTTCAAAATTTTGGCCCGTATTACATAATTGTTTACTAATTTCCGGCAGGAATTAACTTTTTAATTTTTTCATTACAAAAATAGAAATTTTTAAAAACTAAACCTACATTATGGTAAAATTGGCCCAGGAACAATTTTTACTTAATAGGTGGTTGTGATTTCATTAGTAAAATTATGAGTAATTCCGGTCTAATTTTGATCGTCACTCTTAGCCAATCAAAATAGCGCATTTTTTGTGCGGCACCTAAAAAATCATGGAAAATTATTTTTTCTTTTTTTTTACGTTTTTATAACAAAACTCTACTACTGATTATATTTTAGTATTCTATAGGTTCTCCCCTAGTGATGTGGTAGAATCGTCCCATGATGTCACGGCTTAAGTTAAAGCTTATGCCGAACTAGATACAACAATAATTGGACCGCATCACTATTCCCCTCTGACCTCAATGAAAGCAGCACTATTATCTGACATTAAAATAAGTACATCTTATATGACCATAGTTACGCCCAATAATTGCGGCTCTAAAAATTCAACATCTTATTCTTTACTCCCATATGGTACACATACAATTAGGGATGGGTTCGGTTACGACTATAGTCGACTATAGTCGACTATTAGTCGTATTTAGCCGACCGACGGCTTAGCTGACCGGCTAAAATTGTAGTCGATGCCAGATTTTTAATATTCTGGCAAATAA